TCTTTTGAGATGTGTGAACGACAGTCAACTATTATGTAGGCTCACGCTTTTCAGAACATGATCTTAAGCTGCTGTGGAAGATTTCTTCCTACCCCTTCCCTTCTGTCGCTCCACTCAGCCAGTATCTATATCTCTGCACCCAGTGGCGCAAAGTAGAGAGGTTATATTGAATTTTTCTAGCAATCTACCTTGTTTAAAATCCCTCTTTGCTCAAAGAACAATGTCTGCTTATTTTATGTGGATTTAACTAGCATTCATTGGCCATGGTTACATCACACATACGTTGTAGCAGATAGACTTCTAAACTGATTTTCAGTAAGAACCTCTAATTACAGTTTAAAAACGGCTGATGCAATACATAGACAGCCTAGAAATCTGTTGATTAGACAGTATTGCGTCATCCATGAAACACATTTACACCTGTATGCATTAGGGCCTCGAAACAGACGATGGTTTCGAAGAGAAGTGAGAAGAAAAATCTGGGTGATACAATAAATTTTTTCACCCCGGTAATAATGTTTATCTCTACATAGCCTAAACAATAAAATAGCAGTGTAAGCTATATTTTGTAACATTACTGAATCTGAAAGGCGAGCAGGGTAAATTTTGTTACCGAACATAAAGAACAAAAATAAATTACATTTCTATTTTTTTATTTACAAACACGATATAAACCATTTCAACACTACTATAGGAAGAACGTCCAAATATTTACCTTGTCATTAAAGCATACTAGCAAGTAGTTCATCCAGAAATAAAGGAACGTCTAATTCTGTGGCACGGATTCATTTGTTTATTAGATTAAAATATTACACAGTGAAAAGCCTTTTTCTTTCAGATGACAGCTCATCAAAGATGAATTCCATGTCTCCGGAAGTCAATTATGGTTTGCTTCCGGCTGAAAGTGTCAGTGCTACATTCAGTACCTTTCTTGATAGAATGGTGAATATAAGATAAAATAATGCGCCAGTTTTTTCTTTGATGTATGCTTTAAGTAAACGTCAGATCTTGATAGAAGGAAGTGAGTTTTAACTTTTTTCTGTAATAAATTTAAAACAGTATAATGTATTATTCTACAGCTTATGTAACGTGTTATCCCTAAATTCTGTGCATTTTTATTTTCATTGTATCTTCTAATGTTAAATTAGTCTGTTCTCAACAAGTTCTATGTTTCGTGATATAATATGACAGTATTTTGCCAGACTAATCTATAGACATTATCTTGTGTCTCGAGGTTGATTTTTATTCTGTTTGTTATACATTGCTTTTATTTGTTATTAAGCACAGAACCAAACAATGGGCTATCTGTGCTCTGCCCACCGCGGGTATCCAAACCCAACAACTAACGTTATAAGCCACCGCTGAGCACCCGGGGGTTTCAATATATATCAATACGTTAGTTATGATAAATATTCTACTTTTCATGGTCACGTTATTCTAAGTCAAAACATTCAGTATTAAACTTGCCGTTTAAGTACCTTAGCTAATAACTTAAGGATTTTGTGAAACGGTAAAAAATAATAATAAGCTCTATCACTAACTAACAATATTCACAGTCGTTTCACTTCTACGTAAGAACTTGAAAGACATAAGACACCTTCACTCCACTATACAGCAGTAACGCAACAAACACGCTTTACAGAGCCAGTTCCGAGACGGGCTCGTTGTCTACCTCTTCAATAACGCAGGCCTGCGAACTTAAACTTCATAAACGTTGTTTTGGTTTTAATAACAGATTTTCCAAATTCAGCTAAGCAAATTTCGAAAATAAAAATACTTTTTTCTATCACATAAGTATTTTTTACAAATTGGGAAGAAAAAACCTCTTACTTAAATCAGGCCGGCATGGCCAGGTGGTTAAGGCACTTGATTCGCAATCTGAGGGTCGTGGGTTCGAAACCCCGTCACACCAAACATGCTCGCCCTTTCAGCCGTGGGGGCGATATAATGTAACGGTCAATCCCACTGTTCGTTGGTAAAAGAACGGTGGGTGGTGATGACTAGCTGCCTTCCCTCTAGTTTTACACTGCTAAATTAGGGACGGCTAGCGCAGATAGCCATCGTGTAGCTTTGCGCGAAATTCAAAAACAAACAAACAATACTTAGATCAAATTATTATTTCGTTTACTACAATGAACATTTTTATTATAATGTTTGTTAACAAAAATACAAACAAACTGAAGAAAAAGGAAGAACACTGATATCAAACGATCTACGTTTTTAGTCTCAAAATTATGTGTTGTGGTTTTTCTTTTACGTATTGTGTTATGACATTTTGTGAAAAATTCGTACGTGATGGAGAAAAATGGATATCATTTCTGGATTCAGAATACAAGAATTACCGTAGAACATGTAAACAGTTCAAGACAATAAAACCTTCGTAGGCCTGTGTTATTTGCTAAAAAAATTCTAAGAAGTTTGGTTTGTTTGTTTGTTTGAAGATAAGCACAAAGCTACACAATGGACTATCTGTGCTCTGCCCACCACGAGTATCGAAACCCGGTTTCTAGCGTTGTAAGTCCACAGACATACCGCTGTGTCACTGGAGGCTTCTGAGAAGTAAAAGTCGAATTAAAGTACTGAAATAGGTAAAATTCTGTTTACTTAAAATTATTCTTCTACATCTTTACCAACTGCCCCCCAGTGGCACAGCGGTATGTCTCCGGACTTACAACCCTCGAAACCGGGTTTCGATACTCGTGGTGGGCAGAGCACAGATAGTCCATTGTGTAGCTTTGTGCTTAAAAACAAACTTTACCAACTTGCTTGACACGATTTAAAGAATTGAATACATAAAGGGCATATTTGTATTACTGTGGAAAGCATATAAAATTACAATGACTTATGTAGTCACTCGGTGTTTAATTCTCTCAATCTGATTTGTTTTTATTATGTTTGTTGGAATAACGGCTCTCGTGTTCCTGCAGGGTGAAAATGCTAACGTTTCACCTGTTCCCGAAAAAACAACAACACTAGACTTACTTTTATAAACTACAAATAACACCTTCCCACCATCATGTATTTTAAAATTTTTCGTAATTTTATCGAAGAGACACGCAAGTATCCTTTATTAATGAATTAGACAATTACATAAACAAAAAAGTCCTTATCTTTTATACAAGTATACATTTCTTAATCGTTTTAAGGTTATATGAGTAAAATAAGAAGGCAAAAGCTGTATCATCCTAACTATTGGGTTTCAATATAGATTCGTCTATTTTGCTATAAATAAAATACTCTTTTGGTGGTACTTTCTAAACGTAAAAATAACCAAATCAACGGATTGTTTATTAAAAAAGATTTATTTAAATGTTTGAACTGTGGCAACCTTGTTCATTGTAACAGCAAAAAATGTAGTTTTAAAAGTTGAACGTGAATTATTACGATTCATCTTTAAAGGTAATACCAAATTTCACTCACTGTAGTTTCTCGATTCGTTAAATGTAAGCTTACAACGCTAAAATCCTGGGATTGATTCCTCGCGATGGACTGAACGCCGATAGCCCGTTGTGTAGCTTTGCGCTAAAACAAACAAAAGACACTCACCTGTATTGTTCTAACTTTTCAAACGTATACCTTCCTCAGAAGTAGCGTTGAAGTCAGCAACTTGGAACGAAGTCTTGAATTACAAATGTATGTAGTGTAAGATCGTTACGCCTTACAAAGTGAACTACATTAAACCATTCTTTCATTTCCGGTGCCGAGCATGTTCCAGTGATTAACGTGCCGGACTATGGATCTGCGGATCTATTATTCACGCTCCGTACCTCTTAAAAGATTGTGCACTGACTTTGAGGCCGTTGGTGCGTTATAAGGGTGACGGTCAAATCCCATTATTCAGTCAGATAAGAGTAGCCCATAAGTTAGCGATAGGCGCTGTTGACTAGCTGTTTTCCCTCTGCTCCATCACTTCAAAGTTAAGGATACCTAGATGAGTCAGCACGTGAGTGACTTTGTGCGAATATCCACATAAACGCCTGAATTTTTTATTTCAACTCCAAATGTTGTATATTTCAAGGTTTCAGGATTCTTAGTAGATCATTTTTGTCATTTCTGGACTTATAATATGGTGTTTTCTTATAATTGAAAGCAACAAACATAAATTTCGCCAGCAACAGTTTATATTCATTGCAATACGTTGTAGATTTGAGTGAACAGAAAAATATTGTGAAGAAAATACTTTTTGACTCAATCTCAAACAAACATTTAAGGCACAATATCGCTATTTACCGAAAATATATATAATGATGTAGTATGTAATTGTTCTAAGCCATTTATTTTAAAATCCTTCATGTTAATTTGTTAAAGCTTAACTAAGTTTATTTTGGCTTATTATTTCTTATTTGTGTACGTTAGGGCCCGGCATGGCCAGGTGGCTAGGGTGCTCGACTCGCAATCTGCGGGTCGTGGGTTCGAATCCCCGTCCCACCAAACATGCTCTCTCTTTCAGCCGTGAGGGCGTTATCATGTGACCGTCAATCCCACTATCCGTTTG